GACAGACAGACACACAGACAAAGTATTGTAACCCTCGCTGTGCATGCGTGGCAAGGGTTAATGTGTCCATTTACAGATTTAGCAAGGATTTGTTGTGATGAGCACAAAGCCATTTTGACTAACTCTGACCTAGTTAAATGCCCTGTTGGTGGGAGAAGCAGTGCGCCAATATGTTCAGTTTGTCAGTTATAATATATGTTCAGCAAAGCTACTATGTTGGCCACTGACTGGTTTGCTAAAAAAACGTACACAATACTTGGCACTTTACAGCCATTGCCAATGTCAACCAATGGGCTGTTGCCCCTCACAGGTAAGACCTTGTATTAGAGCACTCAAAGTATTTCAGATATGTAGTCTGAGGGTGATTTTCCTGGGTGAAGATGTGTCAGATGCAAGGTGCAAGGTGCATGAATTAAGTCTTGTTAAAATGGACACACAATTGTGGCAGCTGTTTGCATACACATGTCTCAACAACTTGGTAACGAGGTAGAAAGGCAAGGCAAGGCAAGGCAAACAAGTCAACTACACCTCTTTTTTTCAAAGAAGAAGAGCTGCCCTGGTTGGGATTCGAACCCACGACACTGCAGTCTAGGCGAGCACTCTACCAACTGAGCTACAGTACCAGGGCAATTCAGCTGGTAGGGGTTCGAATCTACAACACAACACAACACAAGGCAAACCTCAAACCACTGTGCTATGGCACAGTATACTCTCACTCAGTATGTAGGTAGGAGCAGACCGGGGTAATTAAACCACCAAAGACTCCCAACTCCAAACCAAGTACGTATATTATGCATGTCTCAACAACTTGGTAACGAGGTAGAAAGGCAAGGACATGCTTGCCACTGACCAGTTTGCTAAAACAAAACGTACACATTACCAACACAATGGCCTCTAATGGGTCAACAAGCTTCACTAGATATTTACGTACGTATGTATTGGGACTGCCTCGTAAGAAACATTGCGAAGTTCAAAAGGTGTTAGATGAACAATTGTTACAGGGTGGTAATATTCCGAGTCGTACAGGGGTACTATTTAGGGACTTGGTACGTTTTAGGATACACCTTCTGGACATGGCACTAACAGTCTTAACAAATCAGCTGGTAATGACAGGTTCATCAAAATCCTCTTCCACAGTTAACCTACCTTCTCTGTTACATAACAAACCTGTACTCTCGACTATTCCACCATGCATTGGCAACACCCCACCAACTGTTAGTTACCAGTATACCAATTCAATTGCTAGTAATGTTTTTATAAGAGGGTTGTATCAGAAATAGACTTTTCTGTTGGTTCTAAGGAGATGCCATGTAATTGTGCTGGTTCCGCTCTTGTGTATAGTCCAGTTGGACATGTAGTTACATTGCAGAAAACAAGCATATCCGTGGACTTTTAATAAAGGGGCCTTCATAATATAAGGAACAGAATAACATTAATTGGAATAAGATCCAAACAATACTCCTAGATGCAGTGAGAAGCGATAAGGCGAGTAATAACAGCACAGTAGTACGTAAAAAGTACTATGTTGATGTGTTATGAACAAATTGCTAAAAGTGAATCAACCTTCCACGTATAGCGCCAGTAACATTAGTCGAGAACAGCTTAATAGAAAACATATTAAATGGACATGAGGAAGTGGAACATTAGCATTCCATCGGCTATGGAAGAGCTACCATCTTTATATTGGTTGCCTTAGTTGCATACATATCCTTATGGCAGTAGAGTTATAGCTGCATCAAATAAATGTACAACTAAACCCTTATTGTTCACTAGTACACTGTATGTAAACTCCATAGGAAGGCTCACGAGGCACGCTACTGCTCATTATACTAATATGAAAGTTGAAGGTATCCGTTGCAGTAGTTATGAGGACTTTAAAGTAAGGAATATGTTGATTACAACTAGACTGAATACACAGGGCTTTTCATACAACAAACTTGTTAAGAGCTTCAAGAAGTTGTATGTTAAATGTATCCACTTGATGACAAATACAATGTTTTTCTCAAGAGTCACATTTCTGATGGTATATGTGGGTTATATGCTTGTCATCCTCTCTTGTACAAACGAGTCACAGCACGATGACTACGGTTGTGAAAACTTGCGTAGCCCTATACATTCCGCTGGCTGGGGGTTCTCTCTATATAATGCTCACTCCCTTTTCCTTGTTGCCATTCGTATTCTTCAAGCTTTGATGCAGCGTATCTGGTTCTCCGCTATTGAGGTGTATTTATATTTGGTATGTGTTGCTCCTTTGGCAGCGTAAAGATCTATTTAACCCAGCGTCCCTGGTTGTCAAGGCTAGAGGCACCAATTATCCCTACGGTGTATGCTAGCTAAACTCTCAAATGACGCTGCCCCACATTTTATTATTCTACACTACTTCTATGAATGTGAAATGTTTTTATTTTGTCTTAAATTCTATGTTTTATACCACAGGTTTATTTTTCAATGATGATGTCCTCCTTTTTAATACAATGTTGTTGTTTCTGTCGCATGTTACATGTAATGTGGCACTAACATCGAGCACGGCGGCTCACACATGCATGTATTGTTACTCTTGCATTAGTAAGCCCATGCAATCGTATGAGGTAGCACCTTACAGCCTCCTTTCTCTTTCTCCTTATTATTAATGAAAAGCACTAAAGTGCAAACCCTCGGCGGTAAACTAGCGAGTTGTAGCATCGCTGTATGCTGGGCCGTGCGTCATCGACAGAGCCAGTAACACGAGTTTCACCGTAACACAGGGTAGTTGCATTAGCGGTTAGAGCAATAGCTCAGGTGTTTCAGAGGCTCTCATATTTGCTTTATTCAATCTATCTGCTCTTCTGTGTTTCAATGCTCTCGCCAGACGTTTTATAGATGGGAAGGCAAGGCCGCAACCACAAACTGCTCGCCACCTGAACTATTGCGAACATACCTTGCTCAGCATGTTTATCGTTTATCCATAGGGAACAGAGATCAAAACTGACAGGAGGCCGTGGATCGTATACAACCAAGCGCATGCTCCGGCGATTAATTGACATTACGCGTGCGCGCTATATAGCTAGCCTGCAGGAGAGGGCGCGTGCGCGATCGACCGCGCGTTGGCTTTTTCGCTTGTTTTCACGCCATATCTCTGGAACGCAGTCGTTTCGGGAAAATCGCCACATTAATATCAATCTTCTCGTCGTTCACAACCCGTTGGTGCCACTCATTGGCCGCCTCGTAGCCTGTAGTGCTAGAACTCGCGCGGACGGACAGACGGACAGACAGACGACAGACAGAACGACTACTGTAACCCTCGCTGCGCATGCGTGCCGAGGGTTAATAAAGTGGGTCCCAGTTAATATCATACCCACAGTGCATCCAAAAAATATTATAATATGCGGGATATCTAGGGCCCAATGTATACTGAGTACAGCAATACAGTATAGACTGACCTATACATAGCTACGTATAAGCTAATCAAGCCTAGCTGTTTACATAAGCTAATGAAGCCAGGTGGAGAGAATCAAAACTCCAGCTCATCGTGTAGAATGCCTAATTACACATGCCCAATTTGCGGGCAAAAAGCAAAAGTTTTTCTATGGTAATAGGCGGGATATGACATTATCCGTATTCTATTAAACGAAGTAAAATGTATGTGAAAGACCAGGAAATGCTTTTGAATTTCAGGTTTGTATGATAATAAACGAGATATTTTATTAAACGGTATGATATTATGTGGGACCCACTGTATTTATTTAGGCGTGAGCTTTTCAGTTCACATGCACCCATCCACGTACATGATTAACCCTCTGCACACATGTGCAGTGATGGTGACGGTACATGCTACCAGAGGATGAGTGTCTAGTCCAGTGTTTCTCCACACAGTTACACTGCCCATGTCAGAGTGAGAAACTGACATCAACCCAGCACGTGACATGCCCAGCCCAAAAAATCAGAGCATATACTGCACGTACATAGCCACCAGTGGTGCATACGTAGAGGGGACCACTGGGATCTCCCATCTCACTGTCAATCGTAAGGCTATTTCATCTGGTTTTAAAAATATGCAGTTCTTCCCCACAGGAAAATAACCCTGGGCTAGACAATGTGAGGTGTACCTGTAGCCAGTGGCTCTGCAAAGTCTCGAATGGCATCAGCCACAGGACTCTGTCCCATGTCGTCAAGTTGTCTGATGAGTCTTCGCCACGAGGCCAGAGGATCTGTGGACATCCAGTAGAGTATTAGTTGTCTCTTCTGCTCCTCACGATCAGAGTATACTTGTTGGATCTCATTCCTCTTCTCCTCTGAGATGAACAGATTGTACCCCAGTCCACCATGGCCCACCAGTTCTCCACTGGCCTCACGGCTCCCAGCACATTGGAGGGAGTGAAGGCCATTCCTGTAGCATGTGACATACATCCACAAACAGTTATGATATCGTAACAAAAAATACTTCTATTAGGATCCTATGTACCATACGATCATAGAACTGTGATGTCATGGGTAAAGTGAGGGTAGGGGAGGTCCATAAATCAACAATACACAAGTGTTATGTGGAGTGTAATGGGGGTTATGTGCAATAGGAGTGCTGCAAATCTATATCAAAGTACTGCCCATGCCTCTTATGAAGTATTAAAGGTCAAATTCCATTGAAGCTAATTATAACGGAACCTAAAATTAGTGTATGCGCAAAATTCCAGCTTTGTCCCTCATGTTAGATTGAGGAGTACGCGTCCTTTATAAACCACTAATCGCTGACTTGAGAGGTACAGTCTAACCATTCTACTCCAACCTGTCGAACAATGTAGCTAGCTATTGGCTTGGTCTAGTCTCTTGGGGAGAGTCTGGCCTCGGACACTAGCTAAGGCTTGATCTGCTCTCTGTTGAACATCACTCATACTGCGACAGAGCGCAAAAGGCTAGATTTTCGTACTAAGCATGTCCACCACGATAAGACAAAAATGTAGCATTTTAAAAATGACTCCATACCAGTGGTGGGTTGATAATAGGAGGAGATGAGAGGGGCTAGCTGGGTCTGCCCCATACTCCCCACTGCACGACTCAGCCACTGCCATGAGGCAAAGACGTGTGTCATCCAGCACTCTATCAGCTTCATCTTCTGCTCATCAGGATCTCCATACTGCTGCTGGATCTCTCGCCTCTTTTCCTCTGACACTGCCAACCAGTAGCCCAGTCCTCCTCTTCGGCACCAGTAATCCCCCTCACTCCACCAGTCCTCCACTCCCTTCACTGCCTCCAGTACATTGTATGGGTTGAAGAGTACACCTGTGACCACAATCACATGTTAGGTAAATAGATATGTAATATTTTGAAGCATGAAAGTGCGAATATAGGATAACATATAGCACCATTCCTTCAATCCTAGCAACATGCTGGAGTTGGTTTGTGCCCACTTGACAAGGCAACCGTTCAAAGGGATACAGCAAGACAGTACAAGTATAAGGCATAACTCAGGAGTGTTCTTCAAGCCTAGCAACAAAACTCCGATGATGATGAAGCTAGTGGAGATTTAGAAACTCCTGCGACTTCCTCGTCAAACCTTCCCAAGAGAGCTGATATCCACAGCGAGATAGACATGCCCCTAACTATTATCCCTGCCATTGATTTCTTTTCATGCTTCAGAGCTTTCATGTATGTATGTATGTGTGTGTGTGTGGTTATTGTGTGTGTTAATTGTAGTCCTCCAGTTTTCTTTCTCTTTTTAATTTTTATGTATATAGCGTGAGCTGTTCAATTTTCATGTAGAATAACAGCTCATGCTTTACTTACATACTACAAATAGAAAGAAGGAAGAGAAAGTAGTGTGAGAAAGGCTGCTGGGGCTTAACTTGATATCTATAGAGACAAAACATAAATACAAACCAAGGGCTAGCAAATCAACGCACGCGCGAGCTAGTACAGAGCGGTAGCATGATGAGACAGACATGTATGACGAATGACAGACGACAGAAACGGTATAAAAAGGTATCAAAAGGATAGTAGTGAGACATACAAAAATACTATCTTAGCATTCAAAAATAGCAGTATCGCGAAATGTAGGGCAGTACCGCTGGAGAACCAGATAGCATGGTTTAGGCATTGTGGGTGCCCATGAGAACCAGGGGTGGTGGGTTAAAGAAATCTTTGACCACCGGTGAACCCACCCACCCGAGCCTTTCCCTTGGTGGCACTGCCCAGACTCCATATACACGTTTAACATATATACACACACACCTTGCAGCTCGGCACAGTTTTCAAGAAAGAACCACCACTGACTGACAGTAACGACAAAAACGAATGGACAGTTATCTGAGCCCGTGGGGTAAGGGCTGTGGTATGTTCAACAAGCCACGATTTACAAACGTGGACGTCGAACAGTGACATTTTTGAATAATGATGGGAGACATTCCCAAGGGCCACAAATGCCCTCAGAAATATGTCTCTTCACACAGACTCCATATTTTGTCATAAGATGAGTGTACCTTGTGTAGAACTTTAAAAACCCTTCACCATTTACGGTACAAAAATCCTTGTTTAATTAGTCTGGTTGTTATTATTCCTATTTTTCTCTATGAAACCATCACAACTACTACAATTACGTCCAAATGTAACTAGTTGCGATATATATACTCCATATGCGGGTCCAGATGAAATATTACTCTTCATAAAAGGAAAATTTACAATGGGAAAGTTGAAACTGTCCCTTTTGTCATACACCGTCGTACAGAAAATACTATTTTTTGAACTGAAATACCTATGTCTAAATAAGAGACAGTATCACCACTCTCAGTTGTTTTCTTAAGTATCAACTCTGATGGATATATATTATTTATTTCATTCTCAAAGGAAGGGTTGTTAATAGTTAATAAATCATCTATGTATCTAAATGTGTTACAGAAATGCTTAGCCTTAGATATGCTATTCTTCAGCAAAGCTTATACTCAAAACTAAACAAGTAGAGGTTTGCCAGAAGAGGAGAGCAGTCTGTTCCCATTGGTATACCGATGCATTGACGAAAGACTTTGTTGCCCACTTGCACAGAGATGTTATTTACTAGGTAATCTATTAGCTGGGACTTGGGAGATATTAACACCAGTCCTGCCGTCATTACTCCAAACACATTTCCTTCCTTGAACAGAGAGATACAAGGCATCCCTTTTGGAAAAGGCTTTCTCGATTAGCTCATTTATCATATCCTTAATCAAGTCACGGGGGATGGTAGTATATAGAGTAGAGAAGTCAAAAGTACTCACACTCTTAGCCTTAAAAGTACTATTAGTCACCATCAACAATTCTATGACCAACTGTGAGTTATCAATTACCCAATAGCACTTAATGCCAGTATTCCTAAATATGCCATTACAATACTCTTTAAAATGTTGCATTATAGTTGTAAGGTATTTTGTCAATAGCCTTGATAGAGGCTTGGTGGTACATCTATGTGAAGCTGCAATAAACCTATATACTACCATAGGGACTTTTGTGTAATTTAGGTAACCAGGACATATTCGGTAATTGTACCATATCTTGTGGTATTGCAGTTCTGTATGTCCAATACATGTTTGGCAGCTAGTTAACCCTCGGCGCGCATGCTCAGCGAGGGTTATGGTACTTGGTCTGTCGGTCTGCCTGTCTGTCCGTGCGAGTTCTCGCACTACAGGCTACGAGGCGGCCAATGATTGGCACCAATGGGTTGTGAACAACTAGAAGATGGATATTAATAGATGGATATTAATGTGGCGATTTTCCTGAAACGACTGCGTTCCAGAGATCTGGCTTGAAAACAAGCGAAAAAGCCAATGTGCGATCGATCGCGCAAGTGCCCTCTCCGGCAGGCTATATAGCGCGCACGCGTCATGTCAATTATTCGCCGGAGCATGGGCTACGCCGCCACGTTGGTTGTATATACGATCCACAGGCTTCTGTCAGTTTTGATCTCTGTTCTCTTTGGTTTCAATGGATAAACATGCTGAGCAAGGTATGTTCGGAATGTAGCATAATAGTTCAGTTGGCGAGCAGTTTGTGCCTGCGGCCTTGTCTTCCCATCTATAAAACGTCTGGTGAGAGGATTGAAACACAGAAGAGCGAATAAAGCAAATATGGGAGCCTCTGAAACACCTGACCCATTGCTCTAACTGCTAATGCAACTACCCTGTGTTACGGCGAGACTCGTGTTACTGACTGACGCACGGCCCAGCATACAGCGATGCTACAACTCGTGCGTTTAGTGCACTTTAGCCTCTACATAAGTGGAAGGTTGGTCATTGTTACGTAAGTAACTCTTTTAAGACTACGTACCTCAACATAATACTTTCTACATACCACTATAATGTCTTTATCCGCGGGAACTCGAACATAACGTTGGTGAAATTCATTCTAACATTCCGTATTATCGCAATTCTTAAGCACTTGCTCTTTCCTACAACGTGGTTTCATTCTTTTTAGAACGTCTATTCTGTTATTAATAATTTTATTATGCCACTCACTAAGTAGTCTTACATCCACACCGTGTGAATGCTCTAACTCTCCCTACCTCTATTTGCCAGTAGGTCATGTTATAACCGGAAACCTATGTATTGTCCGAAATAGACAAATCCGCAAGCTACTATTAAAAGGACTTTCCTACCGGGAACAGAATAATATACTGGAGTAAAATTCATTCCATACTCTTGGATGCTGTACGTCGATATAAAGTAAACTGGGCTAGGAGAGAAGACATTTCCTTAGAACCAATTGAGAAATCTATCTCAGAAACTACATTCTTATGGTTAAATATTCTCCCGGCAATGGTATTAATGTATATATAACTTACTACTAGTGGTGAGGTATTGTCTATGCAAGTGGGTACAGCTGAAACAACATTCTTGTTGTGAAACTAAGACGAAAGTCAATGCCTTTACTATGAAAAGGGACTCTAAGGAAGTTGTGATTGTTATAGGTCTTTTTTGAAGGACAATAGTTGTTAGAAGGGTGTCTGAAACTTACTAAGTCTCTAATCATTACTGCTATACGCCCTGTGATTTTATCCAGTAACAAAAGCTCGCTAACGGCCTGTAGTACTACACTTAGTTTCCTACGCGGTAATCCTAGTACAAAGGCTCGTATCTGAGTTAAAAATCTACAGTCCTTATACACGCTGCAAGCAGTTCGGATAGATGCTCAACAATCGAATAATTATATGCTCCACTTTTATTCCTTCTACCTGTTCTATTCCTATCATGTCTATTGAAGAGAGAATAAACCACTATTTTGTCCTTATTAATAAGTTTAGAGATATTGCCTAAACCTTTCACATTGTCATTAAGACCATATGGATACATACAACCTAACTGTTTCATCCAAAACTCTTTCCTCTGCAGTAGCTGAGATGCCAATGTGATGTCATCACCCAGTTCAAAGACTACTTCCCAATTGGCATTATAGTAATATCGTTCATCCCATGGCCGTCTGAATTGAAATGGTTATGTTGCAAAGCTGTTTAACTCCATTACGATGGTTATTGAGTCTATTACGAAGCTTTTGGCTGGTTTTTCCTACATATTGTATCCCGCACCTTCTACAGGATAAAAGACAACCATTTGGCCACTGCAGTCCAGAATGCTATTATAACAACCCACATTATATACACGTCCACTAATATTGCTAACAAATGTATTACCGGTCACAATATGCGCGCAAGTCATACACCACTTACTACCGCAACTAGCAAGCCCAGATTGTACAACATCAGTCATATCCCTTCCCATGACAGGAGCAAGAAACTGGCTCTGTCAATGGATGTTAGATTGCAAGGGCCAGGCCCATCAATTAACGGGGGTTTACGTGCAGGCGTAAAGTGCACATAAACGTGCGTTCCTAGTGCCGAGGGTTCGCGCTGCTTTTTCATTCAAAATGTGACTACAGAGCACCAGACAGAGGAAGGCAAGTTGGACAGCCATTGTCAGAGGGTACAGACACACACTCACACAACTGCTCCTAAAAAGACTAGTCTCGTGCCCAGCCCGCCCCACCCACAAGCAGAAAAGGCAGTCTGGGATCTTTAGTCGATTTTCTTGGCACGGGAGCAGGATTTGGGAGGGTCCAATCAGAGAAGCTAGTGGCAGTGGTCCTGTGACGTCCTGGTATCTTTGCAAGCTCTTGAGTACATACCTGCATATGTAAGCTGTCTTCTTATGAGTCTGGGGAGGTATGAAGGTCGTTAGTGAGCTAGAGCAGGTTCGTTTTGAGTGTTAGTGGAATTTGGTCTGCATTGACGTCGATACTGGGCTTTTTCGTTACGTCTGTAAAGGCACACACGCGCAAGTGCGTGATTTTCGAATTACATAAATATTGAAAATGCCAAGAAAATCCAACTAAAGATCCCATACATTCTTCGCGTGGGAGCACGTGTGGGTCTGGGAACGAGACTATCAAAAAACGGAGTGAAAAGGACTGGTAGGGAACTACATAGCTATTTCTCCTTCTCTCTAGGTGTGACCGTTATCACTAAGTACGGCAGTGCAAACCATCGCCGTGCGTCAGTAGTGCTGATGCACAATGGCAGTGCTAGCTTTCTTCACCGGGATACCTCAGTATAGTAAATCTGGGCATAGATGGATAAATTAATAAACACATAACACGTAGCTATATGTATCCGAAAATTTGTTTGTATTTTGTACATCCACAGGCTCAGGCAAAAACATAGATGAGACAAGTAAATTAAAAATCCTGCGAATTTAAAAAAGAGGCATAAAGGGATGGAATAAAATAAAGGGAGACAAGATAGGGATTGGATACATGAAGCATGGTTAATGAACAAATTTGACTACGCTGACACCCCCAACCCCATCACACAGTCACTAAGTACGGTAGTACTTAGTATAAAAGGATGACACAGGTTGTCCTGCATTATGCCCATACATTTGAGATTTTCATCTTTCACTTTCAGTTTCAATCAGGTCCAACTTTTGACACATCAGACCGATCCGTATCGTCACAAAGAGCATGTATCCAAGAAATGGCTTAAATCGCAAAATCGCTATTTAAAGAAAGTTAGTTTTCAAAATTCTTGTTGTTGTTGTTGCTCAGTTTAGACAAGTGTACCTCAAAAACCGGGTAAGATATGGAGATGACACTTTGCACAGATATTGGAATCCATAACAGGTCGTGCAAGAGCATCCTAATTTCTTCGTAAACAATGTTGTTTACATGTAAACAACAAAACAACCCCAGGCAATGATAGAGACAAATAAAGTGTGCTAACTAGGTAAAGCTAATACCCAGAGTGATAAAACTTCGTACACATAGACAACCCATCATTAGTAACAAAATGTAAACATTACAAGTTTGTAAACAACAACAAACAGCCTCAGGCAATTAAAACATGTAAATGGTGTTTGTGCCTCTAACTTGCTTATGGTTGGTCCTCTAACAATGAAACTTGGTACACTGATTCACCATGATAAGAGTTCATCGAAACACAAATTACAAGGTTATAAACAACAAAACAGCCTCAGGCAACAAAGACTTTTAAATGGTGTCAGTGCCTATAACTTGCTTATGATGGGTCCTCTCACAATGAAACTTGGTGCACTGATGTAATGTGAATGACGACACAATGTCAGAGGCGATAGCTAAAGGTGACTAATGTTACTTTTTCCCCCCAAAAATACCCCCTTCTTATTGCACACCATGGATGTGAATGCAGTAAAAGAAGGAAAGGAGACAAGTAAATAAAAAATTCTTCGAATAAAAAAGTGTGGAATATAGGGATGCCATAAAAAGCAAGGAGACAAGACTGGGATGACCTAGTGAATGTGATGCAGTAGTACAATGGATGATGGCTACATACTTTGAACTGACATCGCTTGCTCTTGTAAAATTTCCTCCACACTAGCCCTATATTGTCGACACCTTTACTGTTTGTTTAGTGTGAAGTGCAAGGACAATGGCGAAAGGATTCTGTACACGGGAGCACACTCGTACTTTGCAACAATATTATAGGGCTTGTGTGAAGGAAATTTTTACACGAGCAAGAGATGTCAGTTCAAAGTATGTAGCTATCATCCATTGTACTACTGCATCACGTTCACTAGGTCATACCTGTCTTGTCTCCTTGCTTTTTATGGCATCCCTATATTCCACACTTAATTTTCCATTTACTTGTCTCTATATTGTTGTATATTGTTATTACTAAGTACTACCATACTTAGTGATATTAAGCTACTCCGTGTGCCATGACAAGGTGTGACAAATCAGTCACGGATTGGGTCCAGTGAAAATAGGATCCGCCTATTTGTATGGACATGTATGCCAATCTTCGTGTCGCCGTAGTGTTAGTTTCACTCACGGGAAACTGGTACTGTGAATACCAGAGAGGGACCCATCTGAAGCACACAACATATAGCGTGGAGATCTAACACTGTGTCTGGTTCGAGAGAAATGCTTGTGTCCGGGTGATTAATCCATTAGCTACTACTCTAAGTGCCGATTGAGCACAATAAAAAAATCCTATTAAATACTAGAGCCTCTTCCCTCGCTAAGGGTGAGGCTTGGGAAAGAGAGACGACTATTGTCAACTCACATTCCATTCCAAGGAGAGACATTCATTATGAATATCTGACCTCACACAAAACTAGATACATGACACGCACAGCGTCAAGTCGCTCGCCCAGGTGCGAACATACCCGACGCGAGCGTGGAGATCTCCTACCAACAACTCACTTAGGTTCACACATAACCTACGTGTAGGGATCTCCTAGGTCCTGCTCTATACATTCACCAGCAAATTCACCACTTAAACAAATGCAACTACCAAACTAAGAACAGGTTCCGTTGGTACGATTTCTACTGAGCCACTCAACAGACTAGTCGGAGAGGGCTGGTATATACCGATACTATCAACAGGCTCACTTTTCCTCTTGCTCAATGGAGGAGGAGACCATGTCATTAGCTCGTCTTCCACACGACCAGCCATATGGCATGCACTAGGCTCAGCCACTAAGCTCAGTCCACCAGTAGACTACGCTGAATTCCTGGGATGGGCAGTCGACGATTGGGGCGGGGGCCCCGGGGAGCATGCGCGTAAAGAATGTAGACCATCTTGAAAACAAAGCTGAGCAAGACAGCGGTGAAATATCTCAAGTGGCAGTCATGCAGCACCGGGTCATACCACATGCACCCAGAGGAACAATTACGTACGATATCGGTGAATGCCTAATTCTTGCCTTCAAGACACTTCAACTAACCACTTCAACCACTGACACCCAGCAGTTACCAGACTAAAACGATGCTGAGACACCTAACTGCTCTTAGCTACCAAATAAACCTTCAATGTGTTCAAGCAACAAACACAAAGGATGCGCCTGGAACTACCAAATGGCGTTCCAACCTACCCCCAACCGCAAGTCAATCCCCCAAACTTGCAAGTCAACAATTATTATTACTACACTACATCATGACTCAAACTTTCACACTCCACCTCACACAACAGGCACTCCTTCATCCCCCCTCTCCCTCTATGCCTATCCAGTTCCATGTTCCTCTTTAGTCCATGTGTGGGTAAAGACACCTAAAGCATGTACTTTACAAAAAAAGCTTTGGTGAAAGATCAATTCCTTGTTGGCGAGCGGAAGCGAGCTAACCTAGTGGTCCGAACGGCGCGATTCTTTCTGTATACACCACCGGACACCACCGGACACCACCGTACGTTAACGTTGTCGAGCGTCGCCGAACTGCGCATGCCCGGCCGGCCCGGCGATCACGCCCCGCCCCCGGCCTCCCGTGCAGTTCTCGCGTCGTCGTATTATAGCCTCGCGGAGCCACGCCTTCTCAATCCGCTCGGGGGCCTGGTGCTTTGGCAGTTGTTCCCTATTCCTGCAAGACCAATCAGATCTCACTGTTTTGTGCACACACAAAAGTGACTCGACCCCATTTGTAAGCTCGCTTCCGCTCGCCAAAAATGCCATGCATTCCCCTACTAGTCTACAGTTTTATATTATATGGATTAGGGGTACACGCTGAAAATGGTATGTCAAGAATGCTTTGAATAGCTAATGAGGTTCATTTTGGGCTAAGACACCTACACGCAGGTCTCTTAGCGACTAAGATACCTGTGGTTAGGTGGCTTACTTCTAATTGAGACCCTCCCGTTTACAGTACGCGCAGATCGGGGCGTCCAGAAGCGACGGTCACGAGCTGAGACTGCTTAGACATCGAATAGATTTATCATAATGAAGTTCTACATTCTGATCACGTTTTGTACCGTAATGATCAGCTATCTTGGGGTGGTAGCCGATCATTTATTGCTGTTCATAATTTACCTATAGTTCATTGGTTTGATTGTGAAATTGTATCTATCAGGCTCTTATACTGTTTATATCCCTCCCAACTGTAGTGAATCTTATTTTTCTGTAATCCAGTGTCTCTCCGAGCTTCTTATAGCAAATGTATCATTGTAGGTGATTTTAATATTTGTTGGTCATCTTTAACCTGTACCTCTTTTTTATCTAATTACTTCTGTGATTTTATTTTCGACAATAACTTAACTCAACATGTTTTGGTCCCTAACCATACTGGGCAATACACTTGATCTGGCTATAACTAGCCCAGGTATCAACATTTCTGATTTAGCTGTTACACATCCAGTTCAATCAATAATTTCTTTATCATCAGTTTTGTTCCACTATTATAATTATGTATTTCTCCTAAACGCAGTCTAGATATTATGTATTTGACTTTTCAAAAGCTGACTATGTTCTTTTATTATGGATGTTGATTTTTCTGCTTGTTTTCGCAGTACCAATATCGAGTTCATCTGGTCAATGATTAAGTCTGTTTCATATCATGCCATGTGTTTGTATATTCCCAAGACTCGTTTGCGTTCTCGACAAGACCCTCAGTGGTTCGATCCCTCTATTCTCAGTAAACAGACGAGAAGACTCTTCCGACTTTTCTGACTGTATGTGTCTGCAAGATGATCTAAAGAGACTAGAGCAATGGAGCACTACCTGGAGTCTGCCGTTTAATAATATAAATGCTCTGTTCTCTCTGTTCATTCAGGACACCGCCACTCTCAATTCTCCTTCTCTTACCATCTGAACAACACCCAAATGTTAAGGAAAACAGCTCATACCGATCTAGGTGTTATGTTGACTCCTGACCTCAAATGGAGAGATCATTATGTATCTATTATGACTAAGTCTAAAGTACTTGGATTACTTAGAAGAGTATTCTCGTCCGTTTACTGCCCCTGGGCTAAGAAAGTCCTGTATGTATCCCTCATTCGATCAAAACTACTGTACTGCTCACCCATCTGGCGTCCTCACCTTCTAACTGATATTAAAGCATGGGAAGATGTACAGAGACGGGCCACCAAATTTATTCTTAACAACTATGATTCCAACTATCGCCTTCGATTGCTTGACCTTAAATTGCTGCCACTAATGATGGTCCTCGAAATTAACGACATACTGTTGCTTTTAAGTCCTTGAAGGAGCCATCTGATCATTTCGACATCTCCAGATTTGTTACGTTCTGTTCAGGCCAAATTTGTTCTGCCTCCTATGTTAAATTGAAACACGTTTTAGTCTCAACCAATAACTCTACTCGAAACTTCTACTTTAATCACCTCCCTCGCCTTTGGAACTCTCTCCCTCCTCTTAACTAAGCTCTACAAATATTTTTGGAACCATTTCACTACTAACTTTGATCCTGACAATGTGTGCTCTTTCCTCTACCTCTGTCCCTGTGCTAAATGCAGCTCTCTCCCAGTCTCCTCTAATTTTGACTCTTCTCACCTCTAATTAATTAATACTGTGTTTTTAGGCTGCTGGTTTATATCACCACCAGGCCTTCAGCACCATTCCATATTTTCGTTTGCCCTGTCTCTACCGTTACCTCACTAGGTGCTGTAAAGTCATAATAATAATAATAATATCTCTTCGAATTAAACTGGCCCCCAGAAGTCATTGCGTATGTATAATTATTATGGCTATGATGCATTCCTGAATATGCCCACTAATTCCATGTCACTATAATAAGCACACATGTATAGTGTTAGTGCAGAGTTTGCTAGACTGAGAGCAGTATTCAGTGGCTATATATCAGTAAAAAGAATGATTGTCCAACTCTCAAATGTGGAAACTAAAGCGCCCAGCTGCCAGGAAATGCTACACATAGAGTAATAAAAATAGAATTGTCAGACAATAACATATAAACAGAAATAGAGAGGTAGGACCCTGGGTGCCCAGCCTTGAGAACCGGGGCGGTAGGTTAAGGAGTCTTTTATGGGCATGCACATAGAGATTAACTGGGGGTGTACCATGACATGTGTTAATCTGAGGTGTACATCACAAGTCTATCCTGGTATCCCACCTCAGTGTTGGTGACGGGCAGTACAGATGTCCACGTGCTGTCTCCACCGCACTGTGTGTGCATGACGTCCAGGGTCTGGACCCAGAGTGCAGAGGTCACGGGAAGTGTGAGGGGACAGAGTGTGTGTGTCACTCCCCGTGGACTGGTGGAGTGTGTGAGACTCTCAACTGTTCCAACACTGACTGCACTGGACACGGCAACTGCTCTGATGGTTAGTGCCCTGTTTGTGGGTCAATCAAGGGCACTGTCCAGATGGACTATTTTACAAGCTTGCATGTATACCACGAACCCATTCTGTCCTCGTACTGAAAGACTTTCACACATGTCATGCCGGAATGTCATGCCAGCTTGATACGGATGTGTGTGTACACATAATAATATATACTATATAGAGGAATGCAACGCATTAGTGGCAAGTGAGCATTACGGTACCCGACAGATAGTTATTAACGTATATAGAAAATTTCCACACTACATAGGCTTGCTTCGCTCACCAGTTAATGCTGAATGCATACCAACTCTATTTGTGTGTTTAATCACAGGGGTGTGTGAGTGTGATGAAGGCTGGATTGGAGAACTTTGTGAAAAAGGTATTGGCCATATTAATGTTACTGGACAAGGTGTGTGTGTGTGTGTCAAGTACATTATGCTTGTGATACTTGTTTCCTGATGCTCTCACATATCCTTGCAGCATGTCCTAGCAACCGGTATGGGCAGGATTGCAGGCAGTACTGCTGGTGCTTTAGTAACTCTCACTGTCACCCGACTACTGGCCACTGTGTGTGTCCTTCTGGCTTCTCTGGATACACCTGCATGGACGGTGAGTGAGACTGTGTGTGTTGAGTAGAGTGGGATCTTCAAGGAATCTTTTCTCCTTCTAATTAGCCTTTGCTCCCTTCGTCCAGCTCCTGCTGGATTGGTGTCAGTGTGTATTGTTGATCTCTGTTCAATAATGTTCCGCAGAGTGTGGTGAAGGTTACTATGGAGCTGGATGCAAAGACAAGTGAGTAGAGTGGTATTATAATATACATAATTCATCTACAAGTCATCCATTATGTAGGTGTGTGTGTATCCTGACTGTTCTGGTCATGGCCACTGTCTACTATACATAAATGGATTTGTCTCTGTGATGAGGTATTTCACTGTGCATGCAGTCAGAATAAAGATGAATAACCCACGTCCTATTTCAATAGGGATGGACAGGAAATAGCTGCAATACATCCGAGGAAAGCATGGCTCAATGGAACTTTTAACTTTCTTCTCTTCTGCGTCCTCACCATCTTCCTTCTCCCCTTCCCCAACCTCCACAGGTGTTTACTTTGACTCTCGCCACAACCATCAACATCAGGCTACAGTAAGGCATTATTGCAGAGACTACATTCAAGTGTTTAGCTGCTGTATTGTCACAGAGTGTTGCAGCCAGTAGTGAGTGTGACTGCAGCAAGTCATGTAGGGAGGAAGGGGTCAAATGCAGTGCAGTGAATATAAATAGCACATCGCAGTAAGTCATTGACACCCAGCAGGTATAGTCTGCTCACAATCAAACACACACCTCAGGTCACCTGTGGTAGTGGCAGAGGATGCCACCATTCTGCAGTGGACAGTGGCCATATCCCTGCTCATTTCTCTACTCACTCTTCTAATCCACGTTCTCTTCTGCTACATCACTCGTCGCTGGACCTACATGGCAGCATGCAGAACTCAGGGAACCTTACTTCCACATCATACTGAGAGAGCCAACTTGCCAGGAAATAAAAATCTAAAGCGACGGAAGCCGCGACCAAAATATCATGTACCACTTATGTTGCACTATAGCTCCAGCACTGACTGTAGCTTATAGCAGTTCATCATCTTTTATTTATGTTCATTGTGCATTGTGTTGTAAAATATGGTGATTTTAGACAAATTTCAAGTGTCAATTTAGGGTAGACTAAAGGAGGGGAAAGAGACATTCTTTCTAGATGTGCAGAAGGCATACGACAGTGTGTGGCATAATGGCCTGTGGTTAAAGTTGTGGGAATTTGGGGTAAGAGAGAAGATATGTAGGGACATAAACAGGATGTACAAGTCTTCAAATAGTGCTGTATTGTTGGATGGGGAACAGTCAGAGTATAGCTTATCTCCAATTTTGTTTTCCGTTTTTATCAATGGGTTGTTGAGGGAAGTAGAGGAAGCTGAGATTGGGATTGATTTAAGTAGTGGTGGGAGACTTGGAGGGGTTTTGTTTGCAGATGACTTCGTTGGTGTTAGTGAGTCTAAGGATCAGTTAGAGATGCTTATAGATGTGGTGCATGCTTACTTTTGGAAATGGAGGCTAAAGGCTAATGTGAGTAAGAGTGCAGTGATGGTGTTCGCTAGGGAGTCGGTGGATGGTGCTTGGAAATGGGGGGAACATGTTTTGCCTAGAACTTGGGTGTTGATTTTACTAATACTGGTGCATGGGATGTGCATATAAAGAATGTGTTAGACAGTGGTAGAAGGAAGATTAATCAGTTGCATAGTGTAATTAGTGATAGGATATTAATTTGAGTGCGCAGGATTGGGATTGTTCCATGAAGGGCTTTTTGTCTATGGTAGGGGACAGTATCAATGACAGGGAGATTACAAAGTTTGAAGAGGGGCTAAATAGCAAAGTAAAGCTGTTGTTGTATAAGACATTTAACAAGGTGGTAGAGTTCAAAAAGTACTTGCATGAGAAAAGTGATGCTGGGTAGTTCAGGTCAAGCACGCATGGGCTAAATGAGGAACTGGGTGGGCATAGTGGAAGGGAGGGGATGAATGAGTGCCTGTTGTGTGATGATGAGTGTGAAAGTGTGAGTCATGTGTTGTGGGAGTGTGCCGGCATAAGTAGTCTTAGGAGCAATTTATTAGGTGCCCTGCAGGGGGTGCTTGGGGATGATGGGTTTGAGCATTTCCCATCACTTGATAGTTTCAGGAAAGCATCCTTTATTTTGGGCAGTGAGCTGTGGGAGGATAAATTTGGTTCTTTGCTTGGCCTTGTTAAAGGTTTTATTTTGGATTGCTCAGCACCAGAGGAGAGAAAGAGAGCGGGCCATGATGAGACAGGCCAGGAAAGACAAGACAAGGAAGTTTGGGAACTACGAAAGGTTAAGTTATACGGCGATAATCCCAGCATACAGTCTCAGATTGCGTCGGGGGAGCTGCAGGGTGTCCATGGTGGAAGGGGTGAGTTCCGGGAGGTGAGACAGACACCTATAGTGTATAGTTTGTTAATGGTTCCGCCCATTGCTCTGGGTGCGTGGCCTATGGCCCTAGTGCAAAATTTCATGACTTAGCATGTGTCATCAACAAAGTAAAGCAAGCCAATGCAAACAACACAACTACAACTCTTTTTGCCAAGGAAAAGAACTCTGCTTAAAAACATTGTAGTCTGCACTTTGCTGCACTGCACCGCACAGTCTATATAATTATGTAACTAACATACATAAACACCAGAGTAAAAGATGTAGGTAGATTAATTTCCAGTGTGATGACAGTTCCATGATCTGGTTTGTCATTCACTTGTGTCTAAGATCATTAACTGGCATCAACTTGACCTCAAAAGCCGCACTTGTACTGAGCAGCAACATCCAATCCAATTGTTCGTGTTCTTGGAGAATGTATAATTATGGTGGTGGGTGGCTTGACTGGACCTTAATGCAACATACATCTTTGGAGAAATGAACCAACTTTCGCCAATCTGTCAAAAGTGTCACACATAAATAGCATGCTAGGTACATCCTCTTTATGACCCTCCACATCTTCTCTCTGTGTAATTTATATGCTATATAACATGTGTGGTGCTCTAAAACCGAAGTATTCAGTAATGCGATTTCAATTAGAACGTGAAAATTGCTCTTTTTTGTCTGAAAAAATGCTCACAATCTCAGAAATGCAATTTCAGACGACGTGAAGTGTGCCCACACCAGACCTCCTTATCGAACAGTGCAGCACAGCCATGAAGATCAGTGGTGAACTGTTTTCCCAAGCCATTCTTCATTCTTCCTAGTGAGGTGTGCTTTAAAATACAAGAGACTGGTGGAAATAATTGTAGTTGAGGGAGTACTGTTCTGGATGGAGGGTGGTCTGTGGTGAATAGTAGTAGTAGCAATGTCTCATACGCACTCTTCTACACCTGTTGAAACAACAGCACATGCATGCACAACCATAAAAACATAAACATACTAGATCTTGATCATGGTCACTCCTTGGCATTACAACTATATACCTCTGTAGCATTTTCACGTTGCTACTTCCACTTAACTTGTTATGTGACCAAAGTGCAAACCATCAATGCAAAAGCAAGGATGTAGCACCCGTACTCTATGCAAACGGCTTTCCCATAACTCATTACGTAATCTTACCTTGTCATTCGTATAAACAGTGTATGCACATGGAAGATCATCAGATTAGACTCGCCAGAGTAAAGGTATAGAGAGATGAGCGTCGTCACGCGTAAGGCTGGTCGCTCCACACATATAATACATACGATATTGGTGAATGCTAATTAGCTCGTACCTTCAAGACACTTCAACTAGCCACTTCAACCAGTGACACCCTGTAGTTACTAGAATCAGATGATGTTAACTGTTCTAAGCTACCATGAATGTGTTCAAGATGCTTTCCTGAAACTGAATGGCTATATAGAAAGGCTTCAACGTACCCCATGCAAGTCAACCAAGAAAGTTCGCTACAACTATATTATTATTACTATGCTGGAAACTGCACCACAACACAACTCAAACTTTCACACACAGCCACCCCTCCACTCCCTGTACCCAATTCATCTTTAGTCCATGTGTCCCTGACTATTGTTTTTATGTGTACCTGGTGTATTTTAGCTTTGGTGAAACATCAATTCCTTGTATAGTTGTTTTATGCCCCACTGGGCCCCCAGAAGTCGTTGCGCATTATAATTATTACAACATACTTTACTTATAGCTGTACTGTTCTTATGGATGGGACATACGGCTAACTGTTGGATGACGCATATTGAAAAATTCAATTGGTGTTGTAAATATTGATGAGGGTCAAGGTGAAGTAAAGGTTTATAAAGCATAAGAGTTTACATGACAACATCGGTCTTTGCTGGCCAGAGGTGGATGGAGGGGGTTAAAATATGCATCTTGAAGTCGTAAAGGAGGTGGTCAGTGAGAAGTAGTAGCATGAAACCCTCAAAGGCAATCCTTCACTCCTGTAGAAATGTATTTTAAACAACGTGTTAAATCACGAGCAGGATCAAAGTAATGTGGCTACATGACAGTGGTGCAAGAACAAGGAGTACAGGGGCCGGTACACCCCCCAGGCTCCTTCCTGTGTGTGTGTTTTCACCTTTGTCACAGATTACAAAGTGTCTTTATAGCTATGAGTGTAATGTGAGCTTGTGATACTATTACCATGACATAGTGAATAAAATACATGCATCTAGCATACACTGCTAATATTTTTGGACTCTTCGCAGCACTAAACTTGCGCGTAGTGCCACTTAGTGATTGATAAAAACCAAGGGTATACAGAGGCCACAAAATGTTGCGGGTACATTTCTCCTTCACTGTAACGGCTGAGTGACCTCCAGAATGTGAATGCAGCACCTTTATTTAGCCCTTTTTCTCACCGAATTTTGCAAAATGCCTCGCAAGAGAAAGTCCTTCGCGTCGCGGAAGAGGTTCCCACTCGGCCCTGGTTACCTTGCGCTGTGCTAAACAAAAGAGAGCTCGAACACCAACACAGTGGACGGAAGGGACCATGTTAGCTCCTCTCAAGGCAGTGGAGTGGGTTTGTCAGTCAGTGCAGTGGCAAGGAACTTCGATCTAATGAGGATACCCTCTATGATCAAGTTAGTGGAGGAGTCGTCACTAGCAGAAAGCCACCATACATCAGTCACGCAGAGGACAAGTAGTTGAGTAGGTATCGCAACCACTGTGCCAAAAGGTGGTTTGGTAAAACGAGAAAAGACGAGATGGGAATTGTGTCTGCTGGAAGTGAAAAAGGTCAACTGTGTTCAGGCCAGGTCTCGGATGGCTGGTGGAGGATCATCAGGGGGTCTGTCGTCACGTCAAGGAGACAGCACTGCCAACGTCAGGATGGATACTGTGAACCAGGAAACATTGGACCATTATTTCTTTTTCCTGCATCAGACGCTGGACAAACCCTCACAGATTTGTAATGTAGACGAAACACGAGTCCCCCTGAATCAATGTCCACCTAAGGTTGTCACAACCAAGGGGAGAGTGACAAAAAAGTACACTGAAGTACATTTGGATTTAAAGGCCAGGTGGCTGGGGTTGGTTTGCAAGCCAGTCAATGATATTCACCCTTGCCTCAAACAAAATACGAGGTTGCAGATATTAAGTATGGTCTTGGCTCAAATGGTTGGACCAAAACCGATCTGTTCGAGGCATGGTTTATTGAGCACAATGCTATGTCTGCCAGTCTACTCTCTTTTTGCTCGATGGCCACTCACTACCAACCATGAGTGATATGCCTCACAGTGGAGCACAACTGCAGCTTACCACCTCACACCACACACGAAGCTCAACCCCTCGATGTTGGTGCGTTTCCTCCACTAAAAGTGCCGTGGACCAAGGTATCTCATGAATTCTTCCCCAACAACGGAGCCTTTGGCTGCACGCTGCCACGTACATAAAACGTTCACCACCCATCCTGCAAACCACCACCTTCTCTGTATATAAGTAGCATTTTTTTGGTAGTCACCAGTTATCCCCTGAAGAAGGTCATCCGTCACCGAAGTACTAGGGAAGTATTTTTTTATCAACCGACTGGTCTACAATCGTTGTGCATGGCTACTCCTGAGCCCCTGCCTCAGAGAGCTCTGCGCCAATCCTGAAGACTGTGAGGTCATGAGCCTCTGCCACCGTCGTCCAGTCCCGCGGAAGTGGTCGGGAGCGCTGCCCCGCCCCCCTCCGGTGGGCCACCCCCTTCGGGGGCTTCACCCTCTACATTATCCCTATACCTTGGTTACACAGACTAAGATGCTAAAATATCAAAGATAAAAGAATGGTGTCATGTGGCTTTCTGTATATTTCGTGTGTAACATCCCCTTGCTTTTTTCGTCTCGTGTATCTTGACTTCATCATCAAACCACAAATCTTTTAACTGTACGTTTGTAGTTCCTGCCACACTTACTCTATCCATACTTCAAATGCCCCAATATTATCACCACAGTCTCTTAGAAGTTGAACGTCTGTAACTATGTCATCAATCATTGAAGGCTCGGTCTAACCCTAGTCCACTCAGGCTACACTTGGTGTCTACTACACCAGATCAACCTTCACATCTTTTGTCAAACAGCCAAACAACATCATCCACATCAGAGGACCCACCAACTCCAGCACTGAAGGCCCCATGAATACCTACTCTCCTACCCAAGCACTTCTTCCATAGGCATATTTAAAATACCAATGTACAAGCTACCTCCTCCCTCTCCAACCTAAACTTTCGTCCACAAACTCTCCCCACAGCAGACCTTTCCAAACAAAATCCGAGTCCAAATATGAATAGTGTGAATGGCTTGCACGAACCTTTCTGCTGTCAACTTAAAATGTAAAACGATTCTCTATACCCTCCGTCGTGAGTGTATAGAAGCAGTAATGCAATTAAAGGGACATAATTGTGTACCATATTTCTCAGCAATGGAGGTGGCAATTCCAGTGTGACCCAGTCTCTGGTGGAGAAGAGCCTTAACAAGAGCTGCCCAGGACACCTCCTCCACACAGTCGTCTCTCTGCAGCCAGTGTAGGACCACTGCATCCAGGAAGGCCAGGTTGGATCTGCTGTTTTCTCTCAGATCCACCACACGGCGATGAGCCAGTCCCAGGACCAGACCCAGGTTGTAGATATCAGACTGGTCCAGATCCATCAGCTGGTCTGTTACCTCCACCAGATCATCCTTTCCTGCAGTCAGGTTGATATAATATATAAACATGTGTAGTTACTGTGACCATACGAATAGAAGGAAAACAATTATACAACACAAACTGGCAACATAGTAATAAACTGCACATGGTCTTACCAAGTGAGCCATCTTGAGGAACGGAACACTCAGCTGTAGAACTGCTTTCCTTTCTAAGTGCATCTGAAGTAAATAGAAAAAATAGATGGCTGGTCAACAAGTGGTTACTATATTACAGTAACGAAATAAACATTAAAAAGGTTTCTGCAACATACCCTACTTTAACACACTCTGTAAAGACTGTTAGGAAAAATGCACATCAAGTGTATCTACTGCTTGTTCACAACAAGCAAACAATCACACTTACCAGTTGTTTCAGTTGTTTCCTTGGGATCAGTTCTCTCTTCTCCTTTCCGTTTTGACATTGTATGTGGCTCCCTGTCATTTTTTTCATCTATACGGTAGAATGCAGTAACGTATGAAAGCCTGAGTATAGTGCAGATGTGTGTTGCAATATTCTACTACTCTGTTGTCAACTGTACAGCAGAGAGGACTTTTGGTTGGTGAACTACGTACTAACAACTAATCTGCAAAACGGACGTACGTACATGTATCAAAATATCGTATTTACACACCTTCTATGTATTCTGACTCTTCCAGCCAACACGGAATATGCTCTTTCTTGAGACTTGCAACTGAGTCAAACTCATTACAGTCGAGGGAGCAGGTCCACTCTCTGTTCCTGATGTAGGCTGGATGAGAGTTGTTGGCAGTGGTGTGGCCGGGACAGAGGATGGCAGGGCTGGGCTTGTTGTTGGAGTAGCCGAGTGTGGTTGATACCGACTCTAGTCCACTGAAGACAGCACATCGTACATGTCTCCACACCTCCACTAGCTTACTGCGTGACGTGCGGATGTGGACTTCAAAGTATGTGTAGCGATCGATTAACATGACAAAGCCATTGTAGTCTGAGACCTGAAACTGGATGCAGTTGCGGTACAGACAAGCGGGGCTGTTGTGTGCATGACGGACACTCCATGGACAGGGATGTCTGTTGGCTGTGGAGAGGACGTGGGCTATGAGGGAACAGCACACTCCGTGCTGGGGTCCACCGTCAGCGAAATGGACCACAAGGGGAGACGGGCTCACACAGTGTGGACGGATTTCTTCTGGTTTCAGATGCTTCAGGACACACGGCATGAACCACGTGTCAGGAGAGAGCCGTGCAAACACCAGTAGTCTTTCCAGTAAGGTTGTCAGATGTTTCCTGGTGAACACTGTCTCGTGGTAGTGGCTGCTGAAACGCTTGTTCTCCAGAAACTTTTCAGTGATTTGTGCATTGTTCTTATACTGTTGCCAGCCGTGGGGAAGCAGGGAATCTTTGGCACTGGGATCTTTTAGTTCGAATGTGAACTGGACAAGCTCGCTCACCTTGTCCAGGAGGACCTGGGGATCCACAAACACCACATCGGGAAGAATGCTGGGATAGTAGAAGATGAGGCTGAGGTTGTGGAAGAACTCCAGAGACAGTTGGAACGACTCCTTGTCCAGCCCCACAGATGCAGCAATCTTCAGGCATTCTTCTCGGCTGAGGACATTCCTCTTCATTCGACGAGCAATGCTCTTCATCTTATGATTGAACACATGCCACCTCCACGGAGTCTTCTCCCTTCTGGAGGGACACTCGTGCACGATGCACTCTCTTATTGCTTCTGCCATTCTCTTGTCATCTTTATCAGGTGTTAGACCGTTGATTTCAAATATGGGCTTCTTGTCTGCACTGTAAATAACTTGTTTCTTAAGCTTGTCTGGAATGAGAGCCTCCAGTTGCTCATTCTTCTGCTCCACTGTCTCTGTCTCACACAAATGCTTGAGGTCTCGATGAGTGCCAAGGAGAAGAATTCTGGGGGGTTGGCCGTTGGAGGAGTCCTCCTCTGACGAGCATTCATCTGCTCCTCCGCACTCGGGAGAGTGGTCCTCGTTAGATGAGTGGTCACTGACATTCTGGTTCGGGGGAGTGGTCCCCATCTCCCGGGAGCTCCACTGGCTGTGCTGGCTGCAGAGAGCTCTCCTGGATTGCTGCTACTTCCTTCTCTGTCTTTCTCCTGACTCTGTTGTCGAAGGAGAACATGGTTCTCATGTACTTTTCAAAGATGTCTCTGTTGGTCAAAAGACTCTGTTCTCGTCTGCCGACCAGCTGCCCATCGCGGTAGTACTCTATCACGGGGTAGCTGTCCAGTGGCTCCGAAAGCTTGAACACAAACACGCAGATGGATGTGTGTGGCAGGAACACAGAGAAGGCGTCTTGGAACTCGGTCTGTCCTCCAGAGTCGATGAGAAACACCCATCTCTCATGAGCTAGAGGTTTGGGAGATCCGGTGGCTTGGCTGATGAGGGAGACAAACTCTTCCTCCACCTCAGTTGACTGCAGTAGAGCGTCCACACTCAACTCGGGGGAGAGGGACGGACCTGGCTGCAGAAGGGCAGCAGTGATGGACTGGGTAGCAGTAGTGGATGTGCCAGTGGCAGACAGGGGAGGACGGTGAGATGAGTGAGTGTGTGAGGATGAATCTGGTGAGTCGGAGGTGGGAGGAGACTGAGTCGTGTTTGAATGTGCGCGGCTGGTGGGTGTGGCTTCTTGAGGAGGGGTGGGGTCTGTGTTGAGACGTGTAGCCAGGTGAGCAGTGAACTGGTGCTGTTCTTTCTTCACCCACTTTGTCTTGCCGTCCACAACGATGACCATGGTTTTGACTGGTCTCTTCATGATGGGGGTACTGTGACGGTCCTCGGGTGCAAGGGGCTCCTCCTCCATTATTGTGTCTAGAGCGGTTGACTTGCCACTGCCGGCGATGCCCATCATCACCACTTTTGTGATGTCAGTCTCTGAGTGGCCGTGCTCCATCTCTCGCTGGTAGATCAGTTTGGCACGATAGCGACCTGGGGAGAAACAGGTTTTGAACTCTAATCCAAGCGGTTGTAATGGTGTAATTAAACCTCGGAGCGCATGCGCAGTGAGGGTTACAGTATTTGGTCTGTGTGTGTGTCTGCCTGTCGACGTTTAATCTGGCACTACAGGCTACCTGGCGGCCCATGAGCGAAATAGATGGCTTTAAACTACGCAAGCCTTAAAAGTAAAATGGTGATTTTCCTGAATTGACTGCGTTCGAGAGATATGCCGTGAAACAAGCGAAAAGGCCATAATCATGCTGGCTTACCTCGACCTGATCCGCTTGTTCTGTGTACCTTGGAGGCACAAAAAGGCACAACAAAGGGGACGTATATATTGACTCCTGCATGTTATCTACTAGTGTAGGATGGTATCCTTTACTAACAATGAAACTGTATCAGTTAGATGTAGGTCCCATAAGATAAAAACAGTTTAAACGACCATTTCCGGGGCAACTTTAGCACCATAGACCATGCACAACGCAATTGCGTACATACGCGCAGATGAATGCACGACTTACACATAATAATATAATTGTGCACTTTTCCGGACCAAAAGTCTAACCTTTTACATGTGAGGTAAAAAAAGCCCATAAAAAGGAGTTAAGTGCTGCTAGAGTGGAAAGAAAACTGGTGCAGCAAGATTGCATTTGGCAATACTTAGAAAATCGGCATGAAACCTCTTGTGCTCTGCTTTGCTTGAGAAATAAAGTCTATCATATGTATTTCAGCTATACGTAATCTGAGGAAAGCCTGTCTTAATAAATAACCAACACTGTGGGTGAATAAGCTGCACACCTTCTTGCTGAATAGGCTCTTCATTTAACAGTGTTGCAAGTTGTGGGCCAGGGCATCCGTTAATTCATAGCAATGCGTACACTTTTTATTTTGCATGCACTTTTGGTTTCACAACAAAATAAATACTCCATTTCCTTCTGAGTGAATAGTGTCTTTTTAACTGGAATTTATGTGCAGCAGCTAGACTACAACTAGAACAACTGTGGTCATCAGTCACCAAATTTTGAAGCCAATGAGGAAAATTTTAACAGTTGAATGTTGATTTTGATGAGGCACTCTTTCAGGTAAGAGTTGACAAACTGAGACAAGAAACGCAATTACTGGTTTTGAGCAGAGCAGCATGCTTTCCGCTTAGTCCTCGCTGTTTTTTCTGAAGAGGGATGCTGTGTCTTGCCAGCTATGTTTTACTAGGGAAGGGGTGATTTCATAGCAATCTCGCTTGTGGTGACGGTTGGACCTGCTGAAACATAACTCATCAGTCCCGATGGGTCCCGGATCAACCTATATACACTATTAACAAAGCAGCCTCTCAGCAGGTGTAGACCCTGTTTTGAGGTACATACCAGAAGGCTAGATAATAACTCCAGGACTTGGAGCTAGGGCTAAACAACAGAGAATTTTAGCACTATACTTTTATGGCATGAGAAAGGTTTTTGCACAGTTTCGTTGCAGGAATGGGCGGTTCCACGAATGTATCGCTGTCGTTGCAAATGGTAGCAAAAATGTGGTATTAGACAGACGGACGGACAGACCAAAACACAAAACGAACGAAGTACCATAACCTTCGCTGCGCATACACGCCGAGGGTTAATAAGAAAAGAAGGGAGTTGTCAAATAGAAACGACAGAGTAAGAAGGAGTGTCAGTGTAAGAAGAGGTGATGCTTAAAACCTGTTAATTAATGATCTCAGGATCAAGGAAAGCCACACCAAGTCCAGTACAGTCCAGCCATAACTTTTACAGCCTGCAGAAGCAGGTTTAATCACATACTAGCAGAAATAAGATTAAGAAGCAATCAAACCACCCCCTATCTAACAAGTCTGTACCCACACTCCTCCAGATTCAATGGACACAACTAGTATATTTTGGTCAAACAGGCAGTGCAGTGCAGTAGTAGCTATTCAGCCCCTTTTCTCTAGCTATCAACGTGTGTTCCTCCCAAATAGAGGTTACCCTGCAAAACACACTAAAGCCTTGGTAAAGAATGGGTTGAACTTTTGTCTGTACAAGCCATTATAACTGTAGAACTCACAAACCCTTCCCCAGTTAAAAACTCAGCTGGAAACACGACAAGAAAAGTAATGAGTGAAGAAGGGAGGGATCATGGAAAAAATAAATAACAGAGTAGGAACAAGTGTCAGAGTAGGAAACGGTAATGCTGAAAACCTGATAGTTCATTATCTTGGGATCAAGGGAAGACACACCACAGTCCAAGTTTGATGTCAGCCCGCAGAAGAATGTCTAATCACATATAGCAGAAATCAGAACTGGCCAGCTTGACTGCCTCCAGAAAACATCACACTCAAGGTGATCCTATCTCCAGTCAACAGAAAGGCCCGGTGCAGCGAACGCCCCGTAGCGCCCATCGATGAGTAAAGAAGGATCTCATAAAGAAGAACCAGGGTTACTCGTGGCGCCTAAGCAAATACGCACATGTGCAAGTGGCTAGTGCGCATGCTTACTCTAATGTCCAAACCAGAACAGAACGTGACAAAGATGTTGGTTAAAACGTGCAATCTCACCAATCTAGACTGTTACGTAACTTGGAACACTCTTATGCAATCACCATTGTGCCTTTGTATACCATAAACATTACACCTGTATCTCTGTGTCTCTAGAAAGTTCTAGAAGAATCACCTCAATGCATATAAGTCAGTGTTTTTGTGACTGTATTCACCCAGTAAATAATATTTTAAAAAGCTATCAGGTTATCGGCCCAGACTAAGCACCTAACAGTCAGTTACGCTCACAGGTTGCTGCTGGCAAGAATGGCCGAAGCTAAGACAATGCAAGATGGCATTCATCAAAGAGGGACTCTGGGGAATTGTCAATGGCACAGAAAGAGCTCCTACCGAGAACACTGACCAACAGGCAATATTTGCAGCAAGGAGAGACAAATCCCTTGCGACCATCATGTTGGCCATTGAACCAAGTCTGCTCTATGTAATTGGTGCTGACCCGATGGATCCAATTAAAGTGTGGAAAGCTCTAGCTGACCAGTTTCAACGGGGCTAATAAACATGAGCTCAAACGGAAACTCCTTTCTATGAGGTTGGGTGAAAGGGGTTCTATGCAATATCATATCAAGTCCATGACCCAAGTTTGCGATGAGCTATCTGCAATTGGGGACCCAGTAAACGAGGAGAATTGTGTTGTCTATCTCTTGGCCAGTCTACCTCAGAGCTACAGCGTTCTTGTAATGGCCCTGGAAGCAAATGCAGAAGTTCCTCCACTAGCCCTGGCAACGGAGCGCCTAATTCATGAAGAGGCCAAGGCTAAGAGTCGCTTGATGCAGCTGACTCAGGAAGGGGCACTGGCTGCCAGATCCAAGAAGAGGCCAATCTGCTACTACAGTCATAAAGTGGGACACATCAAGAAAGACTGTGAGGAGTATGCAAAAGTCAAGGGTCAATCAGATAGAAAGGCCAAGGTTCAAACCAAACCAGCTCAAATGAAGAAGAAAACCACAATGGGAGCATTCAAGGTTACCATCACAGCCGATGATGAAAACAGCTCTGACAGTGAGGGCTGCAGACTGGTGGTAGCACAGGCGTTGTCAGCTGGCCCTACCACCCAGGAGCAGTGGATTCTAAACTCTGGAGCGACGTGCCACGTGTGCAACAAGGAGTCAATATTCACCACTCTACAAACTTTACCCACTCCAATGAGCATGATGCTTGGCGGCGGTTGAAATCTTCAGGCGGTAGGACGCAGGAATGTGATCTTAACAATGAACTTACCGAAGGGAAAAGAGACCTGCACTCTTTTACGACGTTCTCCTGGTACCAGATCTAGCGTACAACCTACTTAGCATAACCTCCGCTGCTAAGAAAGGCAAGGTAACCACCTTCACCGAGATGAAATGTGAAATTGGAGACTCCAAGTCCAAGCTCATAGCCTGTGGATACAGAGAAGGAAGCCTCTACTACCATGACCAAGGATGTCACACTCCGATGTTCTGTCAAATCAGACTCCAAATCTACGGAGGTCAACCAGAAACCGACGAAAACCTGACTGGTACAACCACAACCTACACTGCTTTCGACCAAACGATCATACCCGACCTCAGTGGACAAAGTCAATTCCAAGTCCTGACAAACACAAGTGGAGGAGGGAAATGGGAAAAGAAATGGCATATCTTCAATCGAATGAAGTCTGGGAGTTGGAAGAGCCGCCACCAAATTGAAGGATCAAATGGGTTTTCAACAGAAAAGTCCATGCAGATGGAGAAGTGGAGAGATACAAGCCCCAATTGGTTGCTGAAGGCTGCACTCAAAGGTTCGGTCTCGATTACGAAGAGACCTCCAGTCCCGTTGTTTGCCATCAGATCTGCTATAGCCTTGGGGGCGGGATTCAAGCAGACATCCGGAGATCCTTGCCTCTACATTCATCTCGATTCAGAAGGAGAAATGTTCCTCGTCACTGTCAGACGACATAATCCTCGGAGGGAAGAGCGACGTCAAAATGAGTGCAGTGAAGAAGGAGCTGAGTCATAAGTTGGAGATGAAAGATCTAGGACTGCTCCACTATTTCCTAGGAGTAAAAGTCATTCAAAATGGAGAAAGTGGAGTGATATGGGCTGGACAACCAGTGTTCACAGAGAAGATCCTACAAAGGTATGGTATGCAAGACTCCAAAATGACACCAAACCTGTCAGCACACCTGTCAATCCAGATGTCAAGCTTGTTGCTTGCGAGAAGCTGGATGACGTGTGTAACCAGCAGCTCGATCAAGCAGTCGTTGGCAGCCTGCTGTATCTGTCTACCAAAAACAAATTTTGGGCTCGAAGACAAGTAAATAAAAGTGTGGAATATAGGGATGGTACAAAAAGCAAGGAGTCAAGACAGGGATGACCTAGTGCATTAGTACAATGGGATGATGGTTACATCTTCAAACTGACAGATGCTTGCTCGTGTAAATTTCCCTCCACACAAGCCCTATATTGTCGTGAAGCAAGATTGTTAGATAACCCACAATAAGCAAGTTATAGGCACAAACATCGTTTGGAAGTTCTTACTGCCTGAGGTTGTTTGTTGTCGTTTACAACTTTATAATTTCTGTTTCGATGAACTCTTATCATGGTAAATCAGTGTACCAAGTTTCATTGTTAGAGGACCCCACATAGCAAGTTATAGGCACCAAACATCATTTACCACAAGTATGATTCGCTGAGGCTGTTTGTTGTTGTTTACAACTTTGTAATTTCTGTTTCGATGAACTCTTATCGTGGTACATCAGTGTACTAAGGTTCATTGTTAGAGGACCCACCATATAAGCAAGTTAAAGGCACAAACACAGTTTGCAAGTTTTTATTGCCTGATTCTGTTTGTTGTTGTTTACAAACTTATAATGTTTACATTTGTTTCTAATGATGGGTTGCATATGTGTACGAAGTTTTATCACTCTTGGTATTTTGACTTTATAATCATCATAATGCGTATCTAGCCTGAGGCGATTTTGAGTACGAAATAGAAATAAAAAAAAGCTGCTTGTCCACGACCTGTCATGGATATCCAACATCTGTGCAACAGAGTTCTGCATCTCATATCTTACTCTGTTTTGAGATACGTCTGTCCTGGACACAACAAGAACAGTTTGAAAACTACTTCGTCATCATGATTCATGCCTTTAAAGCCATTGTTTTTGGTACATGCTTTTTGTGTATGATACGGATCGAGACATGATATGTCAGAAGCTTGAAATGAAGTGAAATGTACAAATCTCAATGTATGGCATAATGCAGGGCACCTGTGTGCATCCCCATATACGTCAGTACTGTACTTAGGATACACGTCAAATAATCCAAATTAATAGAAGTGTGGAATATAGGGATGACCATAATAAACAGCAAGGAGACAAGACACGGGATGACCTAGGTGAACGTGGGGCGAGTAGTGCAATGGATGATGCTCCATATTATGAACCGCGACATCGTGCTAGCTAGTGTATCATGTTCCATCCACACAAGCCCTCTATTGTCAGCAGTACGAGTGTGCTCCCTTGTATGATGTCACAGCAAAAGCACTTAGACAGGCACTACCATCTGCACTTTGACGCGGAATTTTTCTTTTCAGTTGTGACTGTATACATTGTGATGAAGTCTGAAGATCATTTGAACTCACTAACTGCTTACAATAGCGCGCTACCTTGACCATACGGTACTATACTAGAATCCTTATCACCATGTGGCCTCGCGCTGTCATTGTCCTCGCACTTCACCAAACAAACAGTAACACGTGCTGACATATAGTTAGGCTTGTGTGGAGGAAATTTTACACGCATGCAAGCGATGTCACAGTTCAAAGTTATGTATAAAAATAGACAAA